CTTACATACAAAAAACTACATACACCACACACACACACACACACACACACACCACCACACACACACAAATACTACATACATACACACACCAGTCTGGGTTTTCTTCTGTTTTCTTAATAGTTCTTGTTCGTTATTTCCTCTTATCTCCATGGGGAAGTGGAAAAAAATTCTTCCTCTGTAAGCCATGCATGTCATAAGAGGCAAACGAAATGCCAGTAGTAAGGGCTAGTAACCTTTTTCCTGTATAACCACAAATGGTTATAACTATAACCATAATTTTTAAAGTGGTGGATTGGTAAGCCAGCAGAAGGCCTCAGTCAGATGACCAAAAGCTCCAATGGTGGGTCATCATCTGACTAAAACCTGCGTCAGGAAACACTTGTCCTGTTTCCTGACGAACCTTACCTAACCTAATCTAACCTTCTGTATAAATTACTAACTTTAAAAAGTAAAACTTTAGTTTTTCTTATTGGATCATTCTGTCTGAGTGGAATATGACCAGTTTGTTGAAAAGAAAAAATTACAATAAAGGAATATAATAAAATTATCATTTCCCTCACAGTTACAGTAATAAAAATATTATTGTAAGGAAGGGTGGGTGGGATGTTCATGGGATGTTAGCTCTTAATCCCACCATCATCAACAAACTCTCACACACATCCTAAAATAAACAGTATACCAGTGTACTAGCTAATTGATGAACAAATACAGTGGACCCCCGGTTAACGATATTTTTTTCACTCCAGAAGTATGTTCAGGTGCCAGTACTGACCGAATTTGTTCCCATAAGGAATATTGTGAAGAAGATTAGTCCATTTCAGACCCCCAAACATACACGTACAAACGCACTTACATAAATACACTTACATAATTGGTCGCATTCGGAGGTGATCGTTATGCGGAGGTCCACTGTATATATGAAGTAGGTACTGTATACACATGGCATCCAGGTTTCTTTCATCTTTTACTCTTTATTATTCAAAGGAAGATAAGCCAATGGTATATAAACACTGGGTAGCTTCCTCACATGGACAGGTGCAGTTCATGTCTGACCTCTCAGTTCCAGTATAATTTATACATTGTCTCCAGCAAGCTCACATTTGAGCCCATTGTGCGTAGGTACACATAAGCACAATTATTCTTCTTTCAACAAACCTACCATATCCCACCAAGGCAGGGTGGCCCAAAAAGAAAAACGAAAGTTTCTCTTTAAATTTAGTAATTTATACAGGAGAAGGGGTTACTAGCCCCTTGCTCCCGGCATTTTAGTCGCCTCTTACAACACACACAGCTTCTTCTCTCCAGTTCCAGGATTACTAACATTTCTTTTAGTGCCCTGGTTACTAACTAGAGATGAGATGGGATGAAAAGGTGATTCTCTGACACAGGTTGAATATGGTATTAGATGTGTATGAATGAAGCACCTAGTGAGGGATGTTGTGTATTATGTAGGCATCCACTGTAAGACATTGGGCTTCACCTGAGGGTCACTGTGAGAAATAGGAGAAAGAATTCAATGTCTGCTACATTTTCTTCTGCATGTACTCTAATGTGTCAACTGATTTTTACGGTGTTCATTGAAAATATTCCGCAGTTTTCCAACCGTGTTATAGCAAAATGGTGTTATCCAATGGCCTACTATTACTTGCAAAGGTAGTATTTTAGGGAATTTTTTACACATATCTAGACGTCACATTAGCCCTTACTACTTGTAATGCTTCCCGTATACTTTTGACATTTTAAAGGAATTATCTGACTAATTTTATGGGGTGTTACATACACCTTAGTTTTTTGCTGTTAGTGTTTCTGTAGAGTTGGTAAACATTCATACTGTATTGCTTACAAGTTTCCTGATGATTTTTTTTTGGAATGAGCAGTTTTTCGTTTTTCAAAAATTTTGTGATTCTTGATATACAGTGTTATGGGATGTGGGTACTTTGCTCACTATCCTTTACTGTTAATATCATTGTATAATCTTATCTTTAACTGTGCAAAAAATTTAAACCTTTCAGAGTAACTAATGGGAACTTTTAATAAAGATTCATTTTCACAGGTACTGATCCTGTCTAAGGACAATGTGTGGTGTAAATATTATGCAGAAAATTCAGTGTGTGGAAATTAGGAAAAGGTGTAGAGTTAATAAAAGTATTAGTCAGAGGGCAGAAGAGGGTTGTTGAGGTGGTTTGATCATTTAGAGAGAATGGATCAAAGTAGAATGACATGGAAAGCATATAAATCTATAAGGGAAGGAAGGCGGGGTAGGGGTCGTCCTCGAAAGGGTTGGAGAGAGGGGGTAAAGGAGGTTTTGTGGGCGAGGGGCTTGGACTTCCAGCAAGCGTGCGTGAGCGTGTTAGATAGGAGTGAATGGAGATGAATGGTACTTGGGACCTGACGATCTGTTGGAGTGTGAGCAGGGTAATATGTAGTGAAGGGATTCAGGGAAACCGGTATTTTCATATAGTCGGACTTGAGTCCTGGAAATGGGAATTACAATGGGAAGTACAATGCCTGCACTTTAAAGGAGGGGTTTGGGATATTGGCAGTTTGGAGGGATATGTTGTGTATCTTTATACGTATATGCTTCTAAACTGTTGTATTCTGAGCACCTCTGCAAAAACAGTGATAATGTGTGAGTGTGGTGAAAGTGTTGAATGATGATGAAAGTATTTTCTTTTTGGGGATTTTCTTTCTTCTTTGGGTCACCCTGCCTCGGTGGGAGACGGCCGACTTGTTGAAAAAAAAAAAAAAGGGTATTGACCCCTTGAATTAAAATGTTATGTCTTAAATTTGTATGATAACCTTTCTGTAACAGCATGTCAAATAGTATTAATAAATGGTACTAATATTTTTTCTCTTTTTCTAATGGTAGCCAGGCACTACTTGCATACCTGGACCTTCCCTGGTAATACTTGAATTATATATGAATAATTTCTTGTATAAATAGATTGTTATGCCGTATCTGTATAGTGGAGCCAGAGGCATGTGTATAATTATGCATTAAATATTATGCATAGTATTTATTTAAATGTCTAATAGGTCAAGTAAGCTGTGATATTTCATTAGTTCCAAGTCTTGATATTATGTATGCGTAGCTTTTATGTAGAGTTTACCTTGTATATGTTAGAGCCACATTCAAACGTATTAAATGCTTATATCATTATGAATTTATTCAATATGTCTTAGAAGCTCAAGTTGGATGCACTAGTTTGAAAATTCTAGATGTTGGTAATGATTTCTGAATGTGTTTATTCTGTAGTAGCACAGTGATTAGTGATGTTTTATCTAGTGTTTATGTTGATCATCCTCTCTCCCTAAATTTGATCTCTTCATATAGTAAACATAGTTGGCTGTTTAGCTTTTCAACTATAAATGCAGTGACTATTCAGTGGTTAGTCTGTAAAAAATAATTACTTTCATTAATAATTGCATACAAACTTTTGCATGTAAGAATTTGGTAATAGAGTAATAACCTGATATAAAGTTACACGTGGTGACAGAGTATTTTGTATCTCTTATTTATGGTTGCAGTAATAGAGCTATGTTCATGTTATCTTTAAGTTACCATACATACTTTTTAAGATTTTCAGTATTCCTAGCATATCCTCCTCCAGCCCATTACTACCACCTTCCATTATGTTAAACAAGGTAACTTTTTTTTTCCCATAAATGAGATGTAAAGTAAAAGGACACAAGTGCAACTAATGTGACATTTATTGTGGCAACGTTTTGCTCTCCAGGAGCTTTATCAAGCTTGATAAAGCTCCTGGAGAGCGAAACGTTGCCACAATAAATGTCACATTAGTTGCACTTGTGTCCTTTTACTTTACATATTGTCGGTAATTCTACCAACTTTATTACATAAATGAGATCTTTAGACAGCATCTGTCATCAAGGGAGGTATTGTCATCCTTGTCATATTTCATTGATAGGAATTTAGGTCTTTCTCTTGTCTCTCTTCATTATTAACTTATTAACCCTTGCGATGTCCAAACCCCTGAAATGAAACTTGCTATCAATGTGTCCAAAAAAAAATCCATCTACTGGCATATACATTCCACTGTCTCTTAATACATTTACTTTTTTAACACTTGTTACTTCTGTTCTTTCATTTCCTTGACTTTTTACTCTTAATATCGTTTTTCCGTTTTCATTTTCACCCCCCTTCTTATACACTTCATCTTATGCACACTTCTGAAGGGGGGGGTTTAACATGGTGGCAGGGAGGGGTGGGGAGGGGGGGAGAAGGGATTTTAATAAGAACCTAGCAACTCAGATTTGGTTTAATTTGTGAGGTATTTTTCATTTCATCCAAATTTAACTTTGGAGGAATTATTACCCAAAGTTCTTGCCTGTGTAGTGACTGCATCAATCACCTGAAAGAGATGAGATTATTTTGTATTGAAAATACTTTGAAAAATAGCTACAGATACAGAAATGCCAACCAGAAGTGTACAACTCCCAGCATTCTTTCTTCTTCACCCTTATTATTAGGAGAGCATAGCTCTGCTGCTGTAACTACACACAGGCTGTCTTACATATAAATAAATTGTGAAATGTGCAGTTGTCATAGTTCTTATTAGGTGTTATAATGTTTTGTCTTTTACACAGGGGGGTTGGTGTGGAGGACCAATGCCTGAATATATGGTAATTTATTAGCTTGTGTGTGTGTGTGTGTGTGTGATGAGTGCATATCCTCTCACCACCATCACTTACTGGACATTTTTCATTTGAACCTTAATTTTCTACAAAGTGAGATTATTCTGCATGTTCACAGGCAGAACCTGAATTGTTCAGGTCTCTTGTTAATATCAAATATTTTTGTTCATTTTGCGCATCTCTCATTTTATTTCTACTGTCTTGAAGCTAGTCTATAAACTCTTGCTTTTTGATGTAGTGTGGTACCCCACTGTATTACTCATTACTCTGTTTTAATATGTAATATTAAACCTAATAGTGCCCTTTTTTAAGCTGTGTTGTCCATATCTTAAAGTTTGTGTTTTTGAAACCTAATGGAAATAATTAACTATTGAGATATTTGCACACCAATTTCCATGATGAATGCTCCATTTAGAGTGCAAGGTTCCATGAAGGAAGCTTCCTAAAGGGATCTTTTCATCAGAGATGTGCTCTGCTGTTAAATTCATAAGCCGTTTTTCACAAATTTTATTATTTGCTTTATTCGATCTTTATTTATGCCTTATATTCATTATATATATATCAGGTAATTTTAGTTTATTTTCTCTCTGCTTGGATATTATAATATACTGTTCTAAGATACCAATACGTACTTAGAATACAAAGAATTCAACATTAAAAAGAAATTAATTTTTCCCCCTGTATTCTTAATATGTATAATATAGTAGAGTACACCTCTGATTACTAGAATAATATAAATTAGATATTTTTGAGATCTGTACATATGAATATAAAGAAATATATACATTGTTGATGAGAGTGAACTGTATAGTAGTCGACACAAGACTATCTGTTACTAGCTCATTGAGTGTGTTATTTAACTGCAGCTTGTTCATTGAACACCATTTAATTTTTGTTTTGTACTTGACATTTATTATAATCTTTGCTTCTAAATGCTTCATGTCTGTACAAACTAGTGTTATCTGTATTCATCTGTTACTTTAGGTAAGGTAGTTAGAGTTTTATTACTAAAATTGGTATGTCAGATATTTTAATTACATTTTGGTGCATATGACATGCAAATGAATTATTGTATCTGTGTATGGATTCTGATGAGCTAATAGATATGCAGTCTCTTTAGTAATGTTTCTTCTTTCTCTAGTATTGGACTTCTCTACTATATTTAGTTCAGTACTTCTTCTTATGCCTGATTTGTCTTGAGAATTCTTCTTTTTGCTTTAGATAATCTCAGGCCACACCTAGCTGGCCATTACATAACCCACATATAGGAGAATGAAAATTGTGATGACATTTCGGTCCAACTTGGACCATTAACTAGTTAATAGTCCAAGTCAGACCAAAACATCATCACGAGTTTCTGTCTCTTATGTGCGGGTTATTTGTGTATTGTTCCAGTCATGGTATTGTGTCTTTTTATCCTTTATCAACCAGCATCTCTACAGACTGTATCTCTCCTTTGGGTATTTGTGTAAGGAGTCTTGGCAAGTCATCAACTCCCGCATACTGCATGGGTTTAGAAGTACGAAGAAATATCCCAGTGAATAAGTCAACCCCTTAAAATTTGAGGTATTAATTTGTGTTGAGGTCTGTATTCCTTCGTTAATGACCTTGGCTTTATTTTCACCTCTGCCGTGTATTACCAAATTTTATACTTGGTATTAGTTGTCCATTAGTTTTTGAGAGATACATTTTAATTCTTAAAGTTGACTTATACACTGGCATATACAGCCTCTCCTCACTTAGCGGTGAACTTGTTTACTGAGAACTTGGTGTTACAGTGGGCTCTCCGGTGAGTCGATATTGTATGTCGTACAAGAACTTGGGTCATGGAAACGGGCAGCACAGCATCTCAGTGTCAAGCATCTCAGTCTCCTTTCTGCAGCCACTCAGTGCACTAGCTTTCACAGTCTCCAAGACTACATATTTGTTGATAAATTAGACACATGTGCAACTCTTGGGTATCTTTATTGAGGAAACGTTTCGCCACACAGTGGCTTCATCAGTCCATACAAAGGAGAATCTTGAAGAACAGTAGGAGAATGAGGTAATCAGTCCTTCAACCTTGAGTCGATGTGGTCAGTCCATCAATCTTGAATAGAATACGGCATAAGTATTCTATTCAAGATTGATGGACTGACCACATCGACTCAAGGTTGAAGGTCTGATTACCTCATTCTCTTACTATTCTTCAAGATTCTCCTTTGTATGGACTGATGAAGCCACTGTGTGGCGAAACGTTTCCTCAATAAAGATACCCAAGAGTTGCACATGTGTCTAATTTATCAACATGTCGGTTTTCTGAACCATTCATCTACACTACATATTTGTACAAATTTGTACTTTATTGTGCACCCCATAGTACAAGAAAGAAGTGCAGCAGCACTTGGAAGAGGAAAAAACAAAAGGAAAATGGAAGAAGTACAAAAGAAGTTAACTGTAAAGGGATTAGCCGGTTTGTTCATCTGTGTGTTTACATTCTCAGCATCTCTTGTGGTATCTTAAGAAATGATTAAACCCAGTGAACAAGGTATGTCGATGGTAATAATAATAATGCTAATTAATAATAACAGTCGCTATGGAGCTCTTAACCCTTTGACTGTCGCAAGCCCATTTCTGAAGCTGCCATTCTGTCTAAAAAATTTTTGAAAACAAAAAAAGAAAATTATTTTATCTTATGAAATAATAATCTTTTCCCAATGCTAATAACACCAAAAGTACAAAATTTGATGGAAAACTTAATGGAATTACACTTTCGCGAAGTCAGCGATCTCGGCGATAGTTACTCATCGGCGATTTCGCCGACTTTGGGCCCTATTTTCGGCCAATTCCATTGTTCCAGTCGGCGAAACTCATAGTTATTTCTTTAGAACTCCATTTGTTTTATCGACTGAATACAAAAAAAACCCCATTTACCAATTTCAACTACCCAATAAAGTGGTCAGAATTTGGCAATTTGGCCAATTTCATGCAAATTCAAAAAGATTCAAATTTCAAAATAGGGTCCAAAATAAACAATGCAGACATTCTTGGCACTAAAATAACATATCCTTTGTTCATTAGTCATGTCTCCAGGCCCTTCTTATATTACTCTTGTTTTCTATTATGATTTTTTATTCACACAAAAAATAAAAGATTTACTGTTATGCAGACTACTGCATTATTGTAAAAATGATATAAATAATATCAGTGTACTTGTAAAAGAATATTAGAATCACCAATTGACGTGTATTGAACGTGTGGCATGATTTGTTTACTCTTGAACATTGGCAAAAATCAAACATTTTTGCTACTTTGAGCTCAATTTCAAGGTTGTTTTCATCGTGAAACTAATCAAAACCATTTCTGTTTCTGTAATATGTTTTCCATTCTATTAAATGAGACCAAGACAACGACAATACACCCATAAATACTATACGAAAATACACCTCAAAGTCAGAGTTTTAATCCAAAAACACAGTCAGTTTTTTTTTTCTCCTTATGCACTGCATGCTGCAGGATTTTTTTTATACAGCGCACTGACCACACAGACCCATTCTCTCATATGTGGGCCTACCAGCCTTCTCCCGCTTGATTTGAAACCACTAGAAGTTTTGAGTATATATACTTCCGAAACACTGGCTCGTAAGACGTATATATATGGCCGAAACAGTCAAAGGGTTAATTTAAATGTCAACAACCAAACCTTTACGAAATACGTATATGACATTTAAAGTGCTCCAGAGTGATTATTACTAATTATTATTATTATTATTATTATTACCATCATCATGTCTTGTTCACTGATTTTAATCATTTCTAACACCTATCCTTAGATACCACAAGAGACACCAAGATATGCCAAGAATGTAAACACACAGACCCTGATCCACCACGAGGCCTGGCCTCAGACTAGGCCTCAGGGACATTGACCCCTGAAACCCTCTCCAGGTATTCTCCAGGTATACACAGATGAACACACTAGCTAACCCCTTTACAGTGAACTTCTTTTGTATTTCCATTTTCCTCTCGTTTTTCCTCTTCCAAGCGTTGCTGCACTTCTATGTTGTATTATGGGGTGCACAATAAAGTACAAATTTATAGAGGAAATATGCTTGATGCTGAGATGCGTCACTAACCCCTTTACACTGAACTTTTGTACTTCCATTCTTTGCTCTTCTTCTTCCTCCTCTTTTTACAATAAATAGTCACCTCTTTCCCTACATTAGGACCACAAATATTTTAAGGTAAGTAATTAGTGTACTGTATGTACTGTATTTTACTTATTGGTTTTAATGCTTAGTTCTATTTTTAACATACAATGGAACCTCAAAAATCGAACGTATCACATATCGAACGTTTCGAAAATAAGACCATTTTTTCGGACAAACTGTGTCCCTATTTTCGGACCGCCGGGTACGGGACCTGCCTGCTGGCCCGCTCTGTCCGCGTCCCCGCACAGGCGCCGTGAGCAGTCTAGCTTTCTTTATGCTTGAGTGAACACTAACCTGCGATCTCATTCACACATTTTACGATTGTTTAATTGTGTTTAGTGCTTGTGGGGCTGTGAAATAAGCTGCCAAGGGCCCAAAGAAACTTGCTAGCGGTACCCCTGTGGTAAAGAAAGTGAGAAACACCATAGATGTGAAGAAGGAAATAATACGGAAGTATGAGATTGGAGTGAGACTTGTTGAGCTTGCCAGGATGTACAGAGGACTGTGGACAGTTATTTTGCGAGACAGAAACAGACGACTGTGGACAGTTATTTTGTGAGACAGAAACAGACGACTGTGGACAGTTATTTTGTGAGACAAACAGACGGCTGTGGACAGTTTTGTGAGACAGAAACAGACGACTGTGGAGTTATTTTGTGAGACAAACAGATGATTGTGGACAGTTATTTTGTGAGACAGAAACAGACAACTGTGGACAGTTATTTTATGAGACAGAAACAGACAACTGTGGAGTTATTTTGTGAGACAGAAACAGACAACTGTGGAGTTATTTTGTGA